AATCTCTTGGTATAACTGAGTGAGTGCCTCCAATGGGGCATCTGTTTGTTGAAATATCTCAATTGGTATGCCATCAATTCCTGGAGCCTTGTTCTTCACCAGTTCTTTCATTGCAGCTTTGACTTCTTTCTTCATTACCATTGGTTCTAGATCATATTTCAACAACATAAGCAATGACTATACATGTAGACTTCACCAGATGGAGTACACAGGAATCAGATTGACTACATTTGTGGCAAGAGGTGATGGAGAAGTTCAATATCTTTGACCAAAACAAGGCCAGGAGCTGATTGTGAAACAGACCATCAACTGCTCATATGCATATTCAAGTTGAAGTTGAAGAAAATAAAAACAAGTCCGTGAGAGCTAAATATGACCTTGATAATATCCCTCCTGAATTTAGAGACCATTTAAAGAATAGACTTGATGCATTGAACACCAATGACTGAAAAGCAGAGGAATTGTGGGATGACATCAAGATCCATGAAGAAAGCAAGAGATCATTAAAAAGATAAGAAAAGAAGAACAGACCAAAATGGATGTGAGAAGAGACTCTGAAACTTGCCCTTGAGCGGAGAGTAGCTAAAGCCAATAGAAGAAATGACAAGATAAGAGAGCTGAACAGAAGATTTCAAAGAGCAGCTTGAGAAGACAAAGCCAATTACTATAATGAAATGTGCAAAGACCAAGAGTTAGGAAACCAGAAGGGAAAAACACACTTGGTATTTCTCAAGCTGAAAGAACTGAAGAAAAAATTTACGTCTTGAGTTGCAATTTTGAAAGATTCTATGGGCAAGATATTGAATGATTTAGGAAACATCAAAAGAAGATGGAAGGAATATAGAGTTACTATACCAAAAATAATAGGTCAATGTTCATCCACTTCAGGAGGTAGCATATGATCAACAACCAATGGTATTAAAGGAAGAAGTAGAAGCTTCACTGAAGGAACTGGTGAAGAACAAGACTCCAGGAATTTACAGAATACCCACTGAGATGTTTCAACAAATGGATGCCCCACTGGAGGCAATCACTCAACTATGCCAAGAGATTTGGAAGACAGTTACCTGACCAACTGAGTGGAAGAGATCCATATTTGTACCATTCCAAAGAAAGGTGATGCCACAGAATGTGAAAATTATCAAACAATATCATTAATATCACATGCAAGTAAAATCTTACTGAAGATAAGTCAAAAACGGTTGTAGCAGTATATTGACAAAGAGCTTCCAGAAATGCAACCAGGATTCAGAAGATGACGTGCAACGTGGGATATCATTGCTGATGTCAGACAGATTTTGGCTCAGAGCAAAGAGTACCAGAAAGTTTACCTGTGTTTTATTGACTATGCAAAGGCATTCCATTGTGTGGCTCATAACAAATTATGGATAACATTGAGAAGAATGGGAATTCCAGAACACTTAATTGTACCCATGAGGAACCTGTACATAGATCAAGAGGCTATCATTTGAATAGAACAACAAGATACTACCTGGTTCAAAATCAACAAGGGAGTGTGTCAAGGTTGTATCCTTTCACCATACTTCTTCAACTTGTATGCTGAGCAAATAATCCTAGAAGCTGGATTACAGGAAGACGAATGTGACATCAGGATTGGAGGAAGACTTATTAACAACGTGCGATATGCTGATGACACAACTTTGCTTGCTGAAAGTGAGGATGACTTGAAGCACTTGCTGATGAAGATTAAAGACAAGAGTCTGCAGTATGGCTTACACCTCAGTAACAAGAAAACACAAATCCTAACAACTGGTCCAATAAACAGCTTCAAGATTAATGGAGGAAAGATTGAAGTTTTCAAGCACTTCATATTACTTGATTCTACAATCAACACCAATGGAAGCAGCAGTCAGGACGTCAGATGACATATTACTTTTGGCAAATCTTCTGCAAAAGATTTTTTCAAGTGCCGAAGAGCAAAGATGTCTCCTTGAAGACTAAGGTGCGCCTAACCCAACCCATGGTGTTTTCAGGCACCTCATATGCATGTGAAAGCTGGACAATGAATAAGGAAGACCAAAGAAGATTTGATGCTTTTGAGTTGAGGTGTGGGTGAAGAATATTGAAAGTACCATG